CTGCAAGCGCTTGGGGAAGGCGATGCCCTTGTGGAAGAGGTTGTTCCGGTCAGAAGTGAAGGAGCACTTTGTTGTTGGGTGATGGGAGTGGGTCGTGTGGTTTATTGGGACAAAACAATCATTCATGGGCTCTGTTGACTGGAGGTATTGGGTTTGTCTACTTGTAGCTCCTTGGAAGATGATTTGTATTGGGAGCTTGGGATAGGCCCCGCAAAGTTGCAGGGAGAACCTCCCCCAACACAGCGTCCCATGTTTTGTGTGGCTCAAAACTTTTGGAACAAACGATCTCGAAGGAATACAGTTGAGTAAATTAAGAAGAGCAAACTTATGCTACTACAATGCCAACCATCAAAAGAGTCTGAGCCAAAAGATGCTCTGAACATCTCTGAACATCTCCATGACGCAGGAGCACCGCAGGAAAGATCTGTGGCAGCTCCTGTGGTGGTGCAACCCACGACCAAGGAGGACTTCCATAGCTTCTTTACCAGTTGAATCTAAGTTGCTGTGGTCTTGAAGGTGTTTAATATTGTGCAATATTCTTTGCCATGTCTTTCATGAAGTCATTCTGCTTTTTGAATCTTGGGGGCTTTTCGTGTGCAGATGAGCCACTCATTGTAGGAGACCTTTGATTACTACTGGGGCACCTCCAGCAAAAAGCCGGTCACCTTCCAGGTGGAACAGCATTCCGATTCTTTGGATGTGTACTGTACATAAAAAGTCCAAGAATTGGGGAAGTTATCTTCAACTGATTGGTATCTTGACATATCTTGACACATCTTGACACGTTTTGACATATCTTGACATATCTTGACACATCTTGACACGTTTTGACATATCTTGACATATCTTGACACATCTTGACACGTTTTGACATATCTTGACATATCTTGACACATCTTGACACGTCTTGACATATCTTGACAGATCTTGACACATCTTGACACGTCTTGACATATCTTGACATATCTTGACACGTCTTGACACGTCTTGACATATCTTGACATATCTTGACACATCTTGACACGTCTTGACATATCTTGACAGATCTTGACACATCTTGACACTTGTCTTGACATATCTTGACATATCTTGACATCTTGACACGTCTTGACATATCTTGACATCTTGACACATCTTGACACAGATCTTGACAGATCTTGACACATCTTGACACACATCTTGACACTTGTCTTGACACGTCTTGACATATCTTGACATATCTTGATCTTGACAGATCTTGACATCTTGACACGTCTTGACACGTCTTGACACGTCTTGACATATCTTGACATCTTGACACATCTTGACACGTCTTGACATCTTATCTTGACATATCTTGACACATCTTGACACGTCTTGACATATCTTGACAGATCTTGACACATCTTGACACGTCTTGACATATCTTGACAGATCTTGACAGATCTTGACATATCTTGACACATCTTGACACGTTTTGACATATCTTGACATATCTTGACACATCTTGACACGTCTTGACATATCTTAACAGATCTTGACACATCTTGACACGTCTTGACATATCTTGACATATCTTGACACGTCTTGACACGTCTTGACATATCTTGACATATCTTGACACATCTTGACACGTCTTGACATATCTTGACAGATCTTGACACATCTTGACACGTCTTGACATATCTTGACAGATCTTGACAGATCTTGACATATCTTGACACATCTTGACACGTTTTGACATATCTTGACATATCTTGACACATCTTGACACGTCTTGACATATCTTGACAGACCTTGACACATCTTGACACGTCTTGACATATCTTGACATATCTTGACACGTCTTGACACGTCTTGACATATCTTGACATATCTTGACACATCTTGACACGTCTTGACATATCTTGACAGATCTTGACAGATCTTGACACGTCTTGACACATCTTGACACGTCTTGACATATCTTGACAGATCTTGACATATCTTGACACGTCTTGACACGTCTTGACACATCTTGACACGTCTTGACACGTCTTGACATATCTTGACATATCTTGACACATTTTGACACATTTTGACATATCTTGACACATCTTGACATATCTTGACATATCTTGACACATCTTGACATATCTTGCCACATCTTGACATATCTTGACACATCTTGACACGTCTTGACATATCTTGACAGATCTTGACACATCTTGACACGTCTTGACATATCTTGACACGTCTTGACACATCTTGACACGTCTTGACATATCTTGACAGATCTTGACATATCTTGACACGTCTTGACACGTCTTGACATATCTTGACATATCTTGACACATCTTGACACGTCTTGACATATCTTGACAGATCTTGACATATCTTGACACATCTTGACACGTTTTGACATATCTTGACATATCTTGACACATCTTGACACGTCTTGACACGTCTTGACAGATCTTGACATATCTTGACACGTCTTGACACGTCTTGACATATCTTGACACATTTTGACACATTTTGACATATCCTGACACATCTTGACACGTTTTGACATATCTTGACACATCTTGACACATCTTGACATATCTTGACACATCTTGACATATCTTGACACATCTTGACACGTCTTGACATATCTTGACAGATCTTGACATATCTTGACACGTTTTGACATATCTTGACAGATCTTGACAGATCTTGACATGTCTTGACATGTCTTCACATATCTTGACACATCTTGACATATCTTGACACATCTTGACACGTCTTGACATATCTTGACAGATCTTGACATATCTTGACACGTCTTGACACGTCTTGACACATCTTGACACGTCTTGACACGTCTTGACATATCTTGACATATCTTGACACATTTGACACATTTTGACATATCTTGACACATTGACACATCTTGACATATCTTGACACATCTTGACATATCTTGACACATCTTGACATATCTTGACACATCTTGACATATCTTGACATATCTTGACACATCTTGACATATCTTGCCATATGTTGACATATCTTGACATATCTTGACATATCTTGACATATCTTGACACATCTTGACACATCTTGACACATCTTGACACATCTTGACATATCTTGACATATCTTGACATGTCTTGACATGTCTTCACATATCTTGACACATCTTGACATATCTTGACATATCTTGACATATCTTGACCTATCTTGACAGATCTTGACACATTTTGACACGTCTTGACACGTCTTGACACATCTTGACACATCTTGACACGTCGTGACATATCTTGGCATATCTTGACAGATTTTGACACATTTTGACATATCTTGACACGTCTTGACATATCTTGACACATCTTGACATATCTTGACATATTTTGACATATCTTGACACATCTTGACACATCTTGACATATCTTGACACATCTTGACATATTTTGACAAGTCTTGACACGTCTTGACATATCTTGACACATTTTGACACATTTTGACATATCCTGACACATCTTGACACGTCTTGACATATCTTGACACGTCTTGACACATCTTGACACATCTTGACACATCTTGACATATCTTGACACATCTTGACACGTCTTGACATATCTTGACAGATCTTGACAGATCTTGACACGTCTTGACACGTTTTGACATATCTTGACATATCTTGACACATCTTGACACGTCTTGACATATCTTGACAGATCTTGACACATCCTGACACGTCTTGACACATCTTGACACGTCTTGACATATCTTGACATATCTTGACACATCTTGACATATCTTGACACATCTTGACCTATCTTGACAGATCTTGACACATCTTGACACATCTTGACACGTCTTGACACATCTTGACACGTCTTGACACGTCTTGACATATCTTGACACATCTTGACATATCTTGACATATCTTGACATATCTTGACATATCTTGACATATCTTGACATATCTTGACATATCTTGACATATCTTGACATATCTTGACATGCTTTCAAAATGTCTCAGGCTCAAGACTTGCTGTAGTGATGGACCTAGTTGACCTAGCTCCTAAGTGTCCAAAACAAACAGCAGCAGATCTTTCCGGCCTGCAGTTTTGCTCAATGGGAGGCGACTCCAGCCCCGCCAGCTGTTGCACAATCTCCAGTCATTGGCGAGTCTTCATTTGGCGATTCGAAACTTGGACAAACGCTGTGGATATGGAAGAGTCATAGCTGCTCACAACCATCATCAAAACAATGTGCAAGTGGAGTATAGATTCTAATAGATCAAAACCATTCACAAACTGTGAGTGTTGGACCATCCCTGTTTTGACGTTTTGGCTGCCCTTGGAACCCTTGGGGCTGAGGCAGCCACAGAAGCCATCGGTGCTTGGCGAATCCTCCATTGCAGAGGCCATGCTGTCGGCGGTCCGGGACCTGGGGATATGGGGAGATTTGTCGAAGATTTCATGGAATTTTAATGATTTATGGACAATTATTGATTTTCAATGGAAAAAAAAGACTATTTTTGGGAGATTGGCCACTGCTGATTGTTTGATCCAAAATCGATGACTCGATGTACTGCATCCTTGTACCATCTGTGGGCGGCTGAGGTGGGAGGTGCCTTGAATGAGGATTCCAATGATCATGCAGCTGAGGCATTGGCATGTATGGCATTTGCCAGCTTCACGACATAATGGTGTGAACTGGAAGACATCAAACAACATGTGTGGTGATTTTACTAGCGTCTTGTTTGTATTTTTTGAATTCTGTTTTGACCTGACACATCCTGCAACCAGCCCGATGTGTGCCCTTTCCAGATCTGTGAAAGTCAGAAATTCAATGGACAATCCAATGGACGATCGATGTCTTAGTTAGGGCTACTGTAAATGATGCGAAATGTAGAATTTCAATGAATTTCATGGTACCTGTATAATTCATGTCGTCCATTGGACATTCATTGGGGTCATCCATGGTGACATGATCATTTCTCGTGAAGCAGGTGCCGAATGTGAATCACCCAAAGATCGAAGCCACAAGATACCGCGTGGTTTACAAGAAGGTCATCAGCCGTTCGACTCTGCAAACATATTATGGTTGATGATGAGCAAGTTGAGATTCAATGACAAATGAGATTCAGGCCCTAAAGGTTTGGTTGATGATGGTTGATGCTTTGGCCAGGTCCGTTGCAAGACTGCTCTGAAAGGAAACAATCTGTGCAATGGATGAAGGGTTCGTTTTCAGGTTCGAGTGGTTCTTGAAGACATAAACATGGAATGACGCAGATTTCTTCTATCATTTTCATATATTTCATCATATTTTCATCATATTTCATCCAGAATCTTATAGCCACTGGTGTTTCAGATTGTTTATTATCACATCTCCATGACTGCGCTGGCGGCATCGCCGGGCAGGTGGCAGTCCGGAAGGAGCCCAACACCAAGTCGGAGGCTCTTCGTCAACTGCCGCAGGGTGAGCGCCCGGTCTGCACGGGACTGGGAGGATGTTGATGTTTTGGAAGACAATTGATGACAATCAACTGCGTTTTGATATCATAGGGGGCTGTTTAATTACTATAGATGAGTAATGATTAGCATAGATGATGTTAATTACTATAGATTAGGGTATATATATTATGATTAGTATTACTATAGATTAGTATATAATGACATCTATCATAGTAAACTTGATGTTCCTTTTAGCAGGCATTTGTTCGGGTGACTCTGTGTTGATCCCTGCATTGCCCTCTGGCCAAGGATAGTAGAGATGTACGAGTGGGATGAGACACATTGCTGGCGCCGCATTCGTATTCTGGCCATTCGAGAAGCAGCTGAAGGCGGTGGAATGCAGGCGCTGCTCATGTGTAGGGGGAGACCTGAATGTTTCTACTTGAATTTCCTGCAGGAATGGCTCATGAAGTTCATAAATACTTCACTGAGTTTTGGTCAGACAGGTGAAGGTGAGGTTACGATTGATTTCTTCTTCGGTTCTGACGTTCTTTAATGATTTCAAACTCTGACAACATGCGAATTCAGTTTGATCCTGTTTGGAGTCTGCCATAGGAAGCCTTTGATCATTTGCGGAGCCCACTCAACATCATTCAATTGTTTGGTTTCGTTGAGTTTTTTCAACTTCAAGTCTCGATTGTACTTCACATGCTCCAAATATCATGAGTCCATGGGTGGCTCAACAGCCAAAGAACTCCTTGTCCCAAGTGAATCTCAAGAGATCCCCAGGAAACCGACGGCTGGATGCTGATTGAGTCGCCCAGCGTGGGTCGACTGTTGGAGGAGGTAGCAGGACCGTATCCGATGTGCGCCTGGAATTGGGGATGGGGATATCAGGGAGATAGTATCAACATGGTGGGATTGACTGATTATATATATATATTTATGGGGGTATCAAATATCAAAGCAACATGTTTTTGTTTTGAAAAATCGTTGGATAGATTGGGACATCATTTGCATACCAGCAATTCTCGCAATTTTGATATTTCTTGGTTTACAGTGTTCGGAACATGACACTGAGTCAACCATCAAATTTGGGCAGTACCCTATTTTGCCAGGCAAAGTCGTCACTTGACAATTTTGAGATAACGGGTCTTTTTGAATGATGATATGAAAGATTGATAAAGACTGAACATACTAAACTGCCGGCAAGTGTCATAATTTGCAAAATGCAGAGTTTCAGCAAACCATTTGCTCGTCATGACCCCAAACAGATCTCACTGGTAACCACACTGGCCACTGGTTGAGTGCCACCGTGAGGAGACGACAACGACGATGACTTTGCTGGTTGAGTGCCACAAGGATCCAAAGATTTGATGATGTTTGATGTGAAATTTCTATGTCATGATTGACAATTTTGAATCATTTTGATGGGATGGGATCCATGTGTGTTATCTAAGTTATCTATATTAAATAATAACAATTAGTTATCTATAGTTATCTTGGGTCCGCAGGTTTGACGACAGTGCGAGGGTTTGACAACTCACTCAACTCAGACTATTGGAGTGGAGCAATTCTTACTTGCAATTGTCACACACGTCATGTCTATTTGTATACATATACATATATACATATATATACATACATACATATATACATATATATATATATACATGTGTATATACATATATATATATACACATGTATATATATATATGTATTTAATAATATAGCTGCAGCTCAAAATGTAAGGTCCCGATCCATACCCTGGAGCCACAGGCGATCCATACCCTTCTGCCTAACTCCTTCGTTCCATACGTCCGGACAACCGCGTAGCGATCCATATATACCCATTTTTTTGAGCCATAGCCATACATACACACGTAGATTCATATTTGGACGTACACGCAGATCCATGATGGTACACCATTGCCCATACTGTCCCTCACAGGGGTAAAAGTTCTTGTCCATGCCGCAACTATGGTCAGGAGCTGCCGCCCACGAAGAAAAGAACTGCTGGGTGGGTCCAAAGGGGACGATGAATGTCTGCGGACTACTGATAGGACTTCATTGTGGGCATCTATTTATATCATGTGGGTATCTACTATTTATAGGACTTTATATATTTCACCTATTTTTCTATATGTTTATCAAGTTTGATTGGCATCACTGTAATTTTGGGCCGTTGCACTTCTATAGTTGTCACTCTCATCCCAAGTACCCGGGACCCAGCCCTGGGCGTCTTCATGTGCGTATCAGATTTGATAAAAGCATCAAAAAATAATTGGACAAATCATCAAAATACGGTGGTTGCATGGCATTTCATCATATTTCATCAACATGTCCTGGGGCAAATTACCCTTGTCAAACATTTTTTTCTGAACGGGACCTCCTGGGAGAGCAGTTTTCACATGATTTAAGATGATAGTTTGAGGGCTTGTACTGCACTCCCAAATGCACTTTTGCACGACAATTTGACCAGAATAGTTGAAATCTTGAAACATCAGATTAAATTCAATACCAATTAACCCAATCAAATTGATTAAATTTACATAATTGACAAAACAAAGGAATAACAAAGAACACTTTAACACATATTTCCATGCTCTTTGGAAGGGGCGAAACCCACACACACAAATTGCTTTACTTCGAGTGATCCCCACCATGGCATTTCAAGACATATATTTGGACATATATTCTGACATTTACCGAACATTCTAACTGACATCTATCCTGACATTCTATTTGGCATTCTATCTGACATATATTCAGACTTTTTATTATCTGACGTTCTATCTGACATATGTTCTGACATTCTATCCTGACATTCTATTTGGCATTCTATCTGACATATATTCTGACATTCTCTCTGGCATTCTATCCAGCATATATTCTGACATTCTACCTGAGATATATTCTGACAGTCTATCTGACATATATTATGACATTCTATCTGGCATTCTATTAAACATATATTCTGACAGTCTATCTGGCATTTATCTTGACATTCTATTTGGCATTCTATCGGACATATATTCTGACATTCTATCTAACATATATTCTGACATCCTATCTGACATATATTCTGACATTCTATACATTCGGACATTCTATTTGACATGTATTCTGACATTCTATCTGGGGCTTGCTGTTCGGGTCCGGCGGGGACCACTCTGATCCGGGGCATGCTGTTGGGGGGGGACCGCTCTGATCCGTGGCTTGCTGTTCGGGCCCCGGAGGGACCACTACGATCCCAAGCTTGCAGTTGAGGTCCGGCGGAGGAAGGAGGAAGGAGGACGTTGCAGGGTGCTGTGCGGTGGCGAAGTGTGCCAAAGATGCGGTGAAATAAGGTGCTGTGCAGGGCCCTGTGTAGTGCAGGGCGCTATGCAGGCTGGTGTCCAGTGTGGTGGCGAAGTCTGGAAAAGGTACCGTGCAGGGTTCTGTGCAGGCTGGTGTGGATGTTGTGAGGCTGTGGCAAAGTCCTGTTGAAGGTGCTGTGTAGGCTGCTGCGGTGGCGAAGTCTGGCAAAGTCCTGCTGAGGGTGCTGTGCAGGGTGCTGTGCAGGGTGCTGTGGAGGCTGTTATGGGTCACAGTGCGGTGGTGAAGTCTGGCAAAGGTCCCTGTGCAGGGTGCCTTGAACTGGGCACCCGCGGTTCCAAGATTGGGAAGCATTGGTTCGAACGTTTGGGAACTAGCAGTTCCTCGAACGGGGAACCTGTGGTTCTAAGATTGGGGCGCGTTGGTTCCAACGTTTGGGAACCAGCAGTTTCGCTTTTGCTGCGACCAATTTGCACGGCATAAAATTGTTTGTCTGAAACCTTTTGTATCTGGGGTCTATTCCGCTGGATTTTTTTGATTTTATCAAAGGTCATGAGTCATAAATGTGATCAACATATCATTGCACATGTTTTCAGTTGATGTTTTTATCTTGTATGTATATGACATACATGTGACCAACATCGCGTGGTTTCAGCTGAGATTGCATCGAAGATGATCAACAGGACACATACAGGATCATTATCCCATGGTTTCAATATATATTTTGAACTTTTGATCCAAATGGCATTTTTGGGTCGATTTCATGCACTTGTGCATGTTCGCGGTGGTTTGCGTTCAAAGTACCCAAATATTTTTTCTTTACGGTGGAAAACCCAGGACCATGAAACAAGTGCCTCAGTAGAAGGCGTGCCAAAACATACAAAACGCAAACTTAAACAACGTCTCCGCTATGAACAAAGGGTCATGCCATTGCCAATATTGCTTGTTGGTCAATCATCCAGCTGATCTGCTTCCATGGCGCCCCGGGGCCGGCGAGCTGGCCACGATGTCCAGGCCCGCAGGGCAGCAAACCTGCTGCAGCAACAGTGGCAACAGCAGCAGCAGCAGCGGCAGCAGCCGGAACAACAAACACTCCCCTGGAGTGCCGCATGTTGGAAGGCTGCACGAGAACAAACAACAAGAACGGCGGAAGAGGTGCCGCTGCAAGGATTGAATCTTCAACTTTGTGAAATTACGCGTTTGTGCTAATAGCCACATGGCATCCTGTCGGCAAATGCTAGCAACAAAAAACACACTTGAAAACGACTCCGGCATCGGTGCAAGGTCTCATTTTTGTTCGAAGTGCAAAAATGCACAAGTGCAAGTACAATATGGATATGTTTGAAAATTCAACTAGGAAGGTGTATGATTATGTATATCATCGGGAGTCATCATGTGTTTATTTCACTTAGGATTCATCAGGTTCTTAATCAGCGTTCCGCAGAACATGTTTTTTGGAGGGGTTGTTTTTATACAGATTGCGGTCTCCTTTTCTTGCATCAGTTTCTGTGATTTTGCTGTGGAAAGCTGCAGTTTCGGAATGCATTCCGGAGGCACGACTGGAAGAAGAAAGGAGAAGACTGGCAGAGGAGAAGGCTGGGCTGGGATCAGGGTGTGTGGGCTAGTAACTGGCTGCCAGTGACCACTGCAGATTGGCCCCAAGTAAAGGAGTGTTCGATGAGACAGAGATTCGGACGCAGCAATTGCACATAATTGCACGAAGCACAGAATGCAGTGACCAGTGATTGTTCTGCGTTCTGTTTGGTGTGTTTTAGTGTCCCTATTAATGTTTTTTTTTGCGCTAGGTTTCTCATTGGGCATTGGGATTTGGGACGGCGCAGGCAGAGCGAAGCGTGAAGGCCGCAAAGGTCTTCGAACAGAATGCCCACACTTGGGAACAGATTGCTGCACAGGCTTGGGAGCAGCGAACAAGTGGCGGTCAATGAGGCTTTGACCAAGGAGACTTCCCGCATGAGACAGGAATTGACCGCTTCCCTGTGTGTGATTTGCTTGGCTTTGTCTGCAAAGTCAGCCAAGGCCTTCGTTCCTTGTGGCCATGTTTGTGTGCATCCTGCTGGAACGGATTTGCACAAACTGGTGGTGATAGATGCCTGATAGATGCCGTCAAGATACGTCAAGATGTTCAATTTTCTTTCACAGTTTTTCTTTTAACAGTAGTCAAAAGGTGCATGAGTGCATGCGCCCCTTCTGGACCTCGTTTGCGAAAAAGTGCATGCGATGAAATGCATTGAACTCCATCACAATGCCACAACGCATCCTGCCGTTTGATCTTCAGGGTTGCCATGTCTCCTATTGTCTCCTCATGACATGCGAAGTTTCCCCCTGAAGATTCTCTTTGAGTTTGCATTCTTGACTCACCTTGGAACACCAATGTTGGCTTAACTCAGCACCTTAGCTTAGATGAGCGTCTGCGATAGCCATGGCTTACAGAGACAGAACAGCAAAGCCACAACGTGTGATTGCAATCAACAGCGAATTTTCCATTTGACGAAATGCGTCGCATCTCTGCAGACAGGCGATGAGCAGTTCGCTTCGACTACCAGATTTAACCAGTCCGGTCATATATTTTTCACGGAAGATCGCAGGTACTGTAGGAGATATCTCAGATTCTGCAAGTAGCAAACCGGTATAGACAGCATGTAACAGCATCTTAGCAGCATGTTGCAGGTGCATGTTTTTTATGCAAGCCCTTGGGAGGGGCAATAAGCCAGCAGCCAGCAACTTGTTTTTTTCTGCTACTGGGCCGGTGGAGATGACGTGCATTCCCAAGGAGCAATTCCTTGCCAGGGTGGCTTGCCGGCATGTCTTCAAAAAGACACTAGGATCATCCATGTTGCGGAGGTCTACGGGATGATTGGCCACGCCTTGCAAGTCGTTCTGCATGCAATTGTTTGTCCTCAGAATCTACTTTTTTGATTGATTGAATGTTGAGCTCTGGGGGGCCATTTGTCGAGATTGCTGGAGGCTCGGAACTGCCCCATGTTGATTGATTTCAACCAATATCTTGAGATTGTGAAGGATTGTCCATGGTCATCCCCCATGGCTGTTGGGTTCCCCCTCGGCCATGGGCAACTCGAGGTGAAACGTTTGACCGATGACTGGCCCTTCGGTTCGGCGGATGCTCTGCTGCTGGTGGCAGGGGTCCAGCGAAAGGATCAGCACGAAGAGGAGCATCTGGCAGTGCCACGGCTGCACGGGTCGTGCCACTGGTGACCCTGGGGAAGAGATGGAGATGTGGATGAGATGATGAGACAGTGGGGACTTTCTTCATAACTGTTGAGTTTTGGTTTTTCTTTTTACTTTTTTAGTGGTTGTCTTTAGGATGTCATCCTGAGGATGGAGTGTGGCCTCAGACGCCGATGATGCAGATGTGGCTTTTCAGTTTGGAATTTCCTGAGTGCATTTTCGCAGTCAAGAGGCCGCCTCTGGGATTTGGAGACACTGCATGGGGATTGCAATTGGAACCCGCTAAGGCGATTGTGATATGTTTATATTTCTCGTTGGGTTGCGACATTGAATTGAGGATGACAACAACATTGCTGCTGCTGATGGTGATGATGATCATGATGGTGGTGGTGATGGTGATGGTGGCGGTGGCGGTGGTGATAATGATGTTGAGGAGGATGAGGAGGATGAGGACGATGACAATGATGATGACGTTGGTGGTGCTGCTGCTGCTGATGATGATGATGATGATGGTGGTGATGATGATGACGATGACGACGATGACGATGATGATGACGATGATCGAGATGATGAATGGATATAAATTTTGCGAGAGAGAACATTGCGAGGCAGAGAACAATAGTTGACTTGCTCTAATTTGTTGTGGGTTGCAAGGATCAATTATTAAACACTCTGCTGGAGTGGCAACCATGCATCAGATATGCATAGGATGTTGGTTTGTCATCAATGACCACTTGTGCAAGTCTGAGCCCAAAGATGTTTCATGGCAGAACAGGTCTCAGAAACAGTGCCAAAACGCACCGGAAAGATGCCGCCAGGACTGGTGAGATGCTCGTGTGGACAAGGGAGAAGAAATTGAAGTACTTCCAAGATGTGCACGGTCGTGGAAGGGTGGAAGGGGGTGATGAACAAAGCACTAAGTGCCGCTTGCGGCCCAGGGCTTCCAAATGCCTCCATATTTGATCTATACCATCCTTATTTGATCACACCGTTTCTGCTTGGTTTCGGCTTGGATGTTTTTGTATGTTGTTCTGTTGTTATGACCACTTTTCAGTTCCAGGGCTGGGATGATAAACATGTGACCAGACTTGCCCAGAGGATGTAACAGTCATCAATGTCATCAACGTCATCAGCGGCCCAGGGCCAGAGTAAATCCTGTGACAGGCATGCTTAGTTTCTGCAATCCAGGCTTGTGGGGTTGAACGCGGCCACAAGGTGCAGAGCCCAAACATGAAGTACCTGTGCAGAACACATCCTGCCAATGCCGAGGCCCCCTTTGGCATGAGTAGGGTGGAAGATGATACTTACGGTATACTGTATAATATATTTGTAGCTTAGGTGATGCTGAATTTTCTCGTTGATTCGCCTAAAGACAATACTTTCACTATTTGATTCATGATTGCAAAATTACAGATCTGACCACATTGACGACATCGCCCAAGTCATAAACTTTTCTGGAGATCCGTCCCACTGCATGAAGGCTGATGCCACTCAGCTAGAAGAATTCTTCGGCATGGTGAAAGGTGAGGAAGACAAGGCCGACCTGGGCAGTTTTATCTCAAGGGATTTGATGCCCGACCTCCCAACGCCAATCCTGATTTGTCTGGGTGTAGCGATCTGAATTCCTACTATATTGATTAACCAAATCTATAGTAGGTAGGTGTTAACTTAAGTGATTTAAGTGATTAATCATTCCTACTATAGTGATTATATTTGGAGAACTATCTGATGAGTGGGTTTTCCTCACTATAGCAACATAACATAGCAAGTATAATAGTGATTAACCATCATTAACCCTTAGTTATCTTACTATATCTTGCTATATCATAATATCTACATATCTCCAGTTCACCAAGGCTGGGTAATTCCACCATTTTCACCGACCCGATTTCGGCCAGCTCTCCATGGCTGTGGTGGACGAGGATCCCTTGGGGCCCTTTGCACAGGAGGGGATGGTGGTCGGCTGTGGTCACATGGAACCCTGGAACCAAGAGACTTTTTGCCAAAGACCAGCATAGCGCATAGCAAAGTCAAGTCTACAAACATAAAACCGCTGCAACAAAGGTGTTGACTCGCATGAACTCAGAATGTCTGAAGCACAGTGGAAGCACAGTGGCTTCATGCGGACATCGACTGGTCACCGTGAGGCTGTGGTGAAGCGATTTACCGCCAAGGACGTCGAGGTGGAGCAATTGGAACAGTGGGGTTCTATCGGTTCGCCCCCAGGAACTCGCCCCCTGTGGGGTTGGTTTCATTTTGACATCTTTGATCATCTTTGTATATCTTTGTATATTGTTTACATCCATCCAGGGTATTCCAGCTTTTTTTTTTAACGTCGTTTTAAACATCCATCCAGGGGTGGGCCATACTGCCCACAAGCCGTTTCAGGTGGTGAATGCTCGTGCAGGCATTCAGGATATCCTGCAAAAGAAAGATGCAGAGGAGGCACCATGTCAGATGGGTCTGCCAGGTGCTGTGGAAAGTATGCCTAAATTGGTGCCAAGAGATACAGGGTTGCTTCAACCCATTATAGTAAATTGTAGCTACAAGCAAAAAGATTGGGAATTGTTACATATTGTTACCTTATTCTCTATCCATTTTCCCCTTGTATTCCGGGTTGTTGAGAAGGGAGGACACCTGAGATGGCGCCGCCACAGAAGTATTGATCTTCCCTTTCCAGCTTCTTTTTAAAGTTGAAGATCCAATCTCGAATCATCGAAACATCTTGACACCATTTGCTACTGTATCTCTTTAAAAGATTCATTGATAATTAATTCAGACCACTCACTTCGGCATCTGCGACCCCCGAGTACCACCGGCGGACCGGGCCCCACGGCAGATTGAACTCATGAAGAGGGCGGGAAAATTCAGTTGCGCGGCCATGCAGGAGCCGTTGCCCCAACGTTGGGATGGTTTCCTCTAAAATTTCTGTAGGCCCAAAGCCCAAAAACCTATTGAGGGTGTCGGATGCTGTCGGACTTATGAAGCTTATGAAGCTTCAATATCTTCAATCCAGTGCACCTTCACAGGAGTGCATCATCAAGAAATGGCAAGATTGCGTTGATGATGAGCAGCAGCTGCTTGTCTGCCCAAAGAGAAGCTTCATTTGCGTTGCATCTTCCTGCATCAAAGGAGTATGGGCCAACATGTTGTAGGAGTGAACCACCCAATTGTTGGAATATCCAATCCTGATCCATAACCAAATCTGAAATTGGGTTCTATATGGTTTTTATCATCATTTTCTCCAACAAAATAGTCCAAATGCAACATGTTGTTGGCTACATCCCCACTATATCCCCATTATATCCCCATTATATCCTTATTATATATATATACAGTAATTAATACATATATAAATATATATATACACATATTATGTCTATACATATGTATATATATATATACACAATATAATATATATATATATACAATATAGTATTATATATATACACATCCCATGTTTGATTCTTAAATTCCCGTGTTTCTTCAGCTGAGGATCACCCACTCAGCTTTCTGCACTGAGCTGGAGGATGCCCCATGGGCTGTGGTTGATGTGAGATAAGGCTCCAGTGAACCCAGATTTTTTGTTAAACATACCACCATGGATTATCTAGGATATGTTTTCTGCTTCCTCGTATTGTTATTGTTATTATTTTATATGGTTTTTATGTGAGTGTTTGACATTTGTTCGTCAACAAATACATTGTTTTGACATGTTTTGACAACAGGCTAGTGGCCCTTACACCAGGGAAACTCATGTGGCCCTTCCCCTAGGTCTCTACATACTGTCCTTTCTTGGGTGGTTTTAACCATCACTTGTTGGCGGTTTTTCCATCATGATTGATGTCTTCGGAAATATCAGGAATCCTGTTCATGAAGTCATGTTCAGCATATTTGATGTAATATATATATATACATATATATATATACATTAATACACCATAATCCTTCTGCTGGGGATAAGTTTGAAGTTGATGGGATTGCAGGAGATGTTGGAGGATGAGGCCGAAGTCAAAGCGCAGGGAGCTGAGTGTGGGTTTTCCACTCCCAAAGTAATTTTTGTTTTGGATGGCAGTGCGTTTCCATGATTTGTTTCTATCACAATGGTGGCTTTTCTCCTATCTATATAATAGGAATGATAAGACTATCAGCATGCGTATTACATTTCTTGTCACCTCCCATTGGCTCCCAGTGGCGTTTTATTTACTCCCAAGTTGGGTGCCACACTGTGCCACACAGTGGCGTGGCGCTGAGACTTTGCAACAGAAACAAGCTGGCCAGCAACGAGATCGTGGAGAGCTCAGTAAAGGTTGATGCATGGGGATCTACACGAAAATCTGTGAGCACAGTAGGTTGTGGAGTTTTGACACACTCAACGTGTTCACGGTGTCGTTTGAACATTTCTGTGCGTTTTGGATGCCGTGTTGAATCAACATGGACCTGCTGTGTATTTTGAGCCGAGGATGTGCCAGTCGTGCTACTACAAAGTGGCAAGTGACTTGTCGCAGGCTGCTGGTGACATATAAGCCAGCGCCAAAACTCCCGGAAATAGGAACCATATAATATCATACAATTAAGGGACGGACATTGGCTTTCAGACATTGTGCAACCATGAGGTAACCGATGGGACCTCCCCCTGTGAAGGTTCTGTCATACTCGTGCACAGACATAATGTTCCTTTAATCGATATTTCCCAAATTTCCCATGCATCATTGTTGTGCAAGTAGTAAGCGATGGGACCTTCCCACATTTTGTTGATGTTCTTTTCGTGAGCCTGGAATTTCCGACATTGCTGATATTTCATTCATTCTTTTGGGAGCTGTCGGGAAATGCGAGGATTTGATACATTCCCGGCCCATTTCAAGTGGAAAATTCCATTTTCATCCCAAGACTATCCATTTGTCACCTCTAACCACGAGGTGTTCCGGCATATCATGACCTGCGACCATGCGATTTTAGCGCCAAGGACATTTGACTTGGACTTTTCTGTGAAAGTCAACACAGTGCGGTTCACCCAGCATGGAGCGCAGTGGCTCTCAATTCTCCAAGGCCCCAAGGCCATGCAATTTTTTTCAGCATGGGTCAATTCTGGAACTTGGGTCTGTTCTTAAGACAGTGTTTGGAGGAATCAGGTGTTACTAGGTCATGTCATATGATTGAACAATTGCACAAAGGTCTTTTGAGTCGTTCGTTGGAAGAATTGTGAAGGTCGTTACTCAACTGTTGAGTTTGAGGACAAATCAAGATGGTTGAACTCTGGACTGTAGCCCTGGTGTTTCCTTTGTTGAAAGTGGCAGGCTTGACAAACAGAGCACATTTCCACTATTTTCCACGGATGTTTGCCTAGATTGCTTATTTTTCTGCTGCAACCGGGGTTCGGGTGCTCCATGGTGCTCCACCAGCCCAGGAAAAGCTGAATGTGTAACTCTCCCCTGCCGTTGGCGGAAGGGGCTGTGTGGATTCTGGGGACTCACGATTTAATGAGAGCCTGGGTGATCTCGCTTGGAATCTTGATATGTTGGGGGACAAATGGGACAATCTGCAAACACATCGCGTTGGAGAACTTTGTTCCTGAAGTCTCTTGACATTGTAGAATCTTGGAAGTGAGCTGCACGTGCCAAGTGTGGTATGCAAATGATGTGTGGGGCATTGTGGGGCAAAGTTGTCAGAATGATGCTTTTGGCAACTGGTGCATGGCAGCAACCTGCAAACAGATCATGCTGTTCGGTGTTCCTGTTGATCCATGTGCACTCCCCAGTAGATACGAACACTTGGGAGGTGAATTGAACAGGTACGGAACACCAGCATACACTAGCTGCTTCCTTCCGTTCGTACGAAGTTTGAGGAACATGGGGGGAATGATTGAGGCTGCCCGTCACCCGTCTTTTGCCCATCCAGCATACCCAAATGTCTCATGAGATCGGAAGATATGTACCTCAGTCCTAGACTCCTAGATGATGAAAGTAAATCGACAAACAAGTCACAGTTTGCCCACCTAAGAGATGTTGGAACAAAAGTCGTCAACAGTTGTGGAAACTAGGACACCACAGGTGCCAGTGAATCAAGTTGGAAGCCAATTTGAAATCAATGAATATCAATGACATGTTCTCCGTCTCAGTGGATGTGTTCGATCCATGATAAGGCCATTCATCGGTTCAGCCATTGGTTATTGCCCAGCACTGCGGGCTGACAGCCCCATCGCCGATTGTTCATGTCGCGACATGTTGACATGCCACCTGCAGCGCCCGGGACTTGGACATGCTGCATGTGGTTCACAGGTTTCTGACTCAACGTGCAATGCGAAGAATCAATCACTATGACATTTTCTTTAATTAATCAATTGGTCATTTAACTATATAGTAGAAATATATATATGAAATATATCATCTCATCAATATGGGAATCCCCTTCATGACAATGGAAGAATCACTCATCAATAAGATGTTATCTATTGTTATCTTTCATATATCTTTCAACAGTCTCCAGTGACTCCAGTGATTCTTGCGCCAGGTGATCGGGGACCGGCTCCGGTGTCGACGGCTCCGCAGGTGGGGGGCGTGGCTCCGTGGCTCCTAACGAATCGGAGCTTTTTTTGGCATCGAACACGGGGAAAACATGAGCAAAACACGACACAATGATACACAATGCACAAAATACAATCAACAAGAAAGAAAATGAAGAAAAAAAACGGAATTGGTTGATGCGACTTTGGACATGATCAAATTTGTGGTCCCTTTTGGTATCCATTTTGAGGAATACCCAGTTTATCATTGGATTGGTGAGTGTATCACTCAATTGCCAGACCTGGTGGGGTGATTGTGGGAGCCCATGGTTTACATGTCATCCATAGGGCAATCGAGGCGTCATGTGCCCTATCAGCGATGCTGTTAGGATGTCGGACTTGGAAAAACATCTCAGTATAAATCCACATGGCAAATAGTGGTTTGTAATAAATGGGAAATATATCTCCACATAAAGGGAAACTATTTTCCCTTTGGTGTGGTTTCAAGACACATTTTGCAAACTGAGAAACTCCAATCCAAATTTGCCGGATTTCGGTCATGTTTCTGCTCTGTTCACCACTGGAGGTGTCAAGAGCCACTGATGCAAGAGCAGCTTCTTTGACCCCCCAGAGAGGGGGCAGAGGCGGGAACCGATATCACGGGGTATGTGATCCACCAATGGTGACTTCAATGGTGCAGATATGAACAAAGCACATAGATCACAATATGGATCTGAGGACACTAGCTTTGAATTTCCGTACTTTCTTCGCAGAAAAGCCGACAATGGGGGGTGCTTTTGTCCCGAGAATGGCTGAAACCTGTGGGTCGCCGCATCTTCAATGTTTGGCCCGTGCGCCATTCTTTCAGGGGCTCAACTGAAAGATATATATATATATATACATATAATGTATATATATAATAACTGCAAGCAACCAAGTGCTGCAGCATTTTTGTTTTTTTTGATGATTTCAAGGAGAAATCCTGAAATCCACCAGTTCAGCGCCTTGCAGGTGGCGCTTTGCAGAGCCTGAGGCGATTCCCTTGGAGATGGTCCGCGAGGTCCGACATTGGTACAACGAATGCTGGGATACAAGCAGATTTGTGCGAACTGGTGCCGAAATGTTAATTGTCATACTACTTGTTCAGACCGGCAAATGCTCCTAAGGCGTGTGATGAACAAGGCTGTATAGGCTGCAAAATGCTAAGACCACTCCAGTCTCATTCTCAGCCCATCCACAGGGGAGCAAATTGCCTGCGACGCTTGAGCTTTTTCCTGCTGCTGGTGGGAACACAAGCGGACTTATCTTTCAAGGCAGTCTCAGAATGTCGCTTCACTGCTGTTTTTGAACTGTTATATAAGATGCACTGCTGGTTGATGCTTGCCATGGAGAGTTATTCATGAGATGGTACTGATGTGCATCGTGAGTGCGGACGCAAACATCCATTTTATAGCCAGACTTCACACCTCTTTTTAAGCAAGGGCAGCCACGAAGGGCGGCAGACTCACAGAATCATTCTGCTCGCTAACCAGTAACCAGGAAGGTCAGGAAGGTCAGGAAGGTTTGGTTTTGTAATGATTGTAATGAGAGATGATTCTTGAGATGAGTCCTGGCCAGGTATTCACCAGGGATCCTCAGGGCTATGCCTCTCACATCCGCAGCTTGTCGAGGACGTTAGCCATGCATCGAGCCGGGTTTGGTTGGTGGTTACTGGCTATCACAGGCCATCAGTTCAAAATGATTCCAAACTGCTTGTTGGTTCCTTCCCAAGGCCCCACCAAAGCATTCTGCTCAACCAAGGATTGGTGGATGGCTCACAGATTGAGTACTTTTCCGATGAATTCAATGAACTTTGTGCACAAGTTGGTGCAATCCCCGTCCCCGCCAGCAACCCTTTGGGTGCAGGTGGGAAGCAAAATCTGCTAATTCTCCACAACTGTCAGTATGTTTGGCGGGGAACATGATGATAATACATTGGAATTAGGGTTACGGTAAGGTACCCTATTTTCAGACGGAGCCTGTTGATTTACACGCCCACAGAGATGATGAGATGTTCAGTATGTTTTCACTAGTTTAGTGATCGCGGTTAGAACCAAAAGTGTGATAGCATTGAAACTCCAATCATTGAATAAGATCTTTGAAACTCCAAACGATCGGATGGGATTCGGATGGGTTTCTGCTAGAGACAGGGCTCAAATCACATTTTGCCCTCAAATTCTGGATGTTATTTATACATTTATACGGAGCATATGTGAACATGACCAATGTTTCCAATGTTTCTTTGTCCATCCCGGATACCAGGCTGTGATGTGGCGGGTGGCAGTTGCGTCCAGGGCATCAGCCAGCGGTTTCAGCATCCGCAGGCGGGATCATCGATGGAGAATTAGGCCACCAAATGGGATTTGGCCAACTGTCATTGGGTTGTTTTAAGGGAACATCTACAGGAAACTATAATAATCAATGGAAACTATAATTCTTGTGATCAACTGTTTGCTTTTTTTGGTAAAATGTTCCTGAACTTGAGCAAGTCTAGGAAAAGTCAGCAAGAAAGATGGGGAACAAGGATATTAACATATATCAACATATATTAACATAATATATTAACTTAACTAACATACATTAACCATGGGTGCTATGATACCATTGGTGCTGGATTCTACGGCTGCAGATTGGCTGGTGACAGGTTCGAACGGTGGACGAAGCCGCACGAGCCGAGCTGCCAGAGCTTTGGTTTTCGCAGGGTGTGGTGGAGGTCCAAAAAACATCCGACTGGAAATTGAAAGTTCATGAAATTGCCCAAGCTCAAGATACCATAAGCCAAAACTCATGACGGAAATCTTGGAACCTTGCTATAGATGCGTTTTGGGGGTCATGGAATAGGAGCTGCAGTTGCAAATTGCAGGGGTGTCCTTTGGCCATGACGGACGTTGAAGACGGATAGAAAAGTCTCGGAATCCGGGTAATTGCCTCATATCCAATCATCCAACAGTATGACTACGATCAGCTGGATTTGAGCATGTATATTACGAATGAACTGGCCAACAGTACCGTTCTTTTGCGCCATTTCTGTTGGAGTATCCTTAGAGCTCAGTGTGCTTGGTATCTGAGGACATCCAATACCTGGATGATGGACAGCTTGACAATCCGTACTCTGGGCGTGTCAGTGCTGGCAACTACACAGAGGTTATCACCACCAAGGCGAGCTGAGAGATGTGTGGCAGGTGGATGGATGGATGGATGGATGGATGGATGGATGGATGGATGGTTTCAAATTTGTTTTGTTGCTGTTAGATTACCAACATTGGAAATTTATCTTGTAAGAAAGGGGGTCAAAAGACAGCCTATGACAGCTATGACATGCTGATTCTGAAACCCACCGGGATGCCACCGGGGGCGTTGCCTGAGGAGTTTATTCCAGATGGTGACCTGTTGCCGCTGCCCCACACGCGGACGCAGCTCTGTCATTATGCACTTAGACTCACTCAGCCTGTGCAGCTTGGCGGCAGTGGCGATGCTGAAGGATCTGAAGTCACCAGCTCCTTTGTTCCATTCATCTGGGTAAATTATAACGACCTCACTGCGACCGAACCCTGGAATCATGGTTAGTAAGGGAAAATATCACCAAATAGCCTTAATTCAGGTTAGTGAAATATTAAAATTTACCTAGATTCATAAATATCATTCAATATCCATAAATCATAAATCATCAACGCTTCATCCATGATAATGGCTAGTGAGATGGGCTGATGATGGCTGGGTGAAATCATTGACCATCGACTGAAGTCGTTAACCATAAATAACCATAAATAACCATAAATAACCATAAATAACCATAATGGTATATTATGGTACATACCATAATATACATAATATACCAGAATATATAATCCCATAATCATTAACCCTGCATATACCCTGCATATAGCCTGGAAATCCAGTGACGGATTCCCGAATCTGCCGTGTCCAGGAGTGCGCAGAATTCAGCCGCATGGAGTCGATTCAAACAGTTGGTGTCCTATGGCTTTGAGCTGCTTGGCGGAGAAACCAGAAAGGAAGGATCTTCCA